CTCTGTGGTCCCCTTCTCCTCCTGTCCCCAATCCCTCCCAGCCTTAGGCTCTTTTCTAATGAGTCAGCTCTTCGCACCAGGTGGCCAAAATATTGGAGTTTCAGCTTCAACATCAGTCCTTCCAATGAATACCCAGGACTGATTTCCTTTAGGATGGACTGGTTGGATCTCCTTGCAGTCCAAGGGACTCTCAAGAGTCTTCTCCTTTTTTTGCTAAGGCTTCCGAAGTGCACTCATTTTCTTCAGCTATGCTTGCACTACTGTTGCTATTTCCATGAGTGCTAGTCTTAAGTTTCATGAATATTAGTTCCCAGAGTAGTGAACAAGAAGTTCAGAACTCTGAGTTCTAATCAAGGCTTACCATTTGAGTCACCAAGATAAAACTGATACAGTTCTGAAAATTGAAACACATTTTCTTTGTGGCATTTAGGTTAATTACAAAAAACTTTAAAAAAATTTTTTTCAGAAGAGCAACAATAAAAAACTGTACAGAGATACCTACAAGGCCAGATAGTTCTTAAATAATTCTTAGAATGCAAATTAAGCACCTTTAAGTGAGTAAATAATTTACTAGGTTTTGTCATTGATCTTTTGGCTTTGTGTAGATTTTTTTTTTCTTTTTTTCTTATTCCTAGAATTGTTGATAGAACACTGTAATTCTCATCCACATGGACATGTGGACTTAAAACTTTTTGGCTTACAAGAGGGCAGTATAATATAGTGCACATTTGTTTGGGCTCTATAGTTAAATACTCCTGGCTATCAGCAGTGTGAATTTAGGCAAAATACCATGCTCCTTTCGCTTGACTGGGAAATGGGAATAATAAGGATATTTAGGAAACTGTGAGGATTCAGTGAGATAATTCAGATAAGATCATTAACACAGTTCCATCCCACAAGTTTTCACTCCATGAATACTGTTTCTCTTCCTCATCTTACTCCTAATCTTTCTCCTCCTCCCAAGGGTACTTTAAGTCATAGAACTCTTAGAAGCTGAGAGCTCTGACTCCAGCAAATGAACATGTGACTACATATCTTAGATAACTGAAGAAAAATTATTCAAATGATTGATTCTTAATGTAGATGATACGGTAGAAAATTTTATACTTTATATGTTGTTTAGTTGCCTCAGTCGTGTCCGACCCTCGCAATCCCATGGACTGTAGCCCACCAGGTTCCTCTGCCCATGGGATTTCCCAGGCAAGAATACTGGAGTGGGTTGCCATTTCCTTCTTCAATACTTTATATATTTAAAGTCTTTTCTTTTGGTTAAAATGATGGTAAAATGAAGACAGTGACTTTAGCTGCATCTATAGCTATGCTTTATGGTTATTTTTAAAATTAAATTTGTACTAAACTTTTTCCTTTGAAATAAATTCAATTAACAGAAAAGTTGCAAAGGTAATACAGAGAGTCTCCATATCTTCATTATCTGTTTTTTCTATTACTATTTTATCTAAATAAATGAGGAAACCAACACTGATACTTTGTATTAACTAAACTCTAGATTTGATTCAGCTTTAACCTGTCTTCCCTGAATTTTTTTCTATTCCAGGATTCAGTTTGGGGATAGAAATTGTTCATAATTATCATGTCTCTGTCATCTCTGCTACTTTGTGAATACTCTCCTTATTTCCATGAGCTTCACTTTTTTGAGGAATATTGGTTGGAGATTTTGTACAATGTTCCTCAATTTCTATTTATCTGTTATATTTTCATAGTTAAAAGGAGCTATGGTTTTGGGGAAGGATACTAGAGTGTAAATGCCATTCTTATCACATCCTAAACTACATGCTATCAACACAGCTTATCACTGTGTGTGTTGGTGTCATCATGGCAGAGTACTGGTTTCCATCTTTCTCCATGGTAAAGTTACGTTCCCCCTTTTCATATTCTGTTCTTTAGAAGCAAAACAGAGAGTACAGCCTACCTTCAAGTGACAGGGGGTATATTTCTGTTTTAAGATCATTCGTTCAGCAGATGACTATACCCAAAACACAAGAAGAGTGATTTTCTTAGAAAAAAGATATAAATAAGTTAAATGAAACTGTGGACCTCTCAACTTTCATTGAGTCCAATGGTAAAGTATGACATTCAGAGCAGAAATAATTATTTTCCTGTCCATCAATTGGGGTTAATGGAAGCAAAGCTGATGGAGACCAATTTCACACTGATATGATATAGTAACTTCATCCAAGTAATTGTGAAGGCATTGAACTAGATCTTAAGAAAGTGGGTCAATATATCCCACCATCATGCTGGCCATATCAGATGTGCAACACCATTTAGTGATCAGTTTATACTAATCTTGGAAGAGATTCAGAAAACTAAGATCATGGCATCCAGTCCCATCACTTCATGGCAAATAGATGTGGAAACAGTGGCTGACTTTATTTCTTGGGGCTCCAAAATCACTGCAGATGGTGACTGCAGCCATGAAATTAAAAGATGCTTACTCCTTGGAAGAAAAGTTATGACCAACCTAGACAGCATATTAAAAAGCAGAGACATCACTTTGTCAACAAAGGTCCGTCGAGTCAAGGCTATGGTTTTTCCAGTAGTCATGTATGGATGTGAGAGTTGGACTATAAAGAAAGCTGAGTGCAGAAGCATTGAAGCTTTTGAACTGTGGTGTTGGAGAAGACTCTTGAGCGTCCCTTGGACTGCAAGGAGATCCTAAAGGATCTCCAGTCCATCCTAAAGGAAATCAGTCCCGGGTGTTCATTGGAAGGACTGATGTTGAAGCTGAAATTCTGGTATTTTGGCTGCCTGATGCGAAGAGCTGACTCATTTGAAAAGACCCTGATGTTGGGAAAGATTGAAGGCAGGAGAAGGGGACGACAGAGGATGAGGTGGTTAGATGGCATCACTGACTCAATGGACACGAGTTTGGGTAAACTCCGGGAGTTGGTGATGGACAGGGAGGCCTGGCATGCTGTGTTTCATAGGGTCGCAAAGAGTCAGACATGACTGAGCGATTGAACTGAACTGAACTGGAAGAGATAGCAATGATTTTTCTAATGTAAAGAACCTTTGACTTGGACTCAACAGCTCCTTTTTCCCCACTATTAATTATTGAGCATTTATTATGTGCCTGGAGTTTTTCAGCATTTTTAATACTTTACTTTGCTGATTAAATAAGTTTTATAAAGTAAGTGTTAACATCTCCTTTTTTATAAGGAAATTGAGACTTAAAGAGGTCAAGTAACTTGATCATATAAGTACAAGCTGGATCTGGAACGTAAAATAAGTTTTCTCCATTCCAAAGTATATGGTTTTTCCATTATATATGAATTATATATATATATATAAAATATACTTAAAAGTTTTGTCATAATAGCTAAAAGTCAGAGTGAGGGGCTTAATAGTTATTTTAATAATCTCATTAAATTTTTTCTATAATAATTTAAGATTAATAGCTATTTCACATGGATACAAGAGTGATTCTGCGGTCACAATATCCCTGCATCCAAGTATATTCTGAATATTATTATATTTCTAAAATTTTCCAGGTTGATAAAAAGTCATTATGTTAGAAGCATTTAGTTGAAGGTACTGATGGAAACAATCTTACGTTATTTTCCTCAGAGTTCGCGTTTGCTGCTAATTTTATTTTTAGTGAAAGTAGCATCAAAAAATGTTTGATATGTACAGAGAAAAATCAAATCAGAGTCTTGTGAATATTGTTTGAGAGAAGTTAATTTTTAGGTCTCCAGTTCCTAATTCTCAAAGATATTTAAAATATTATTAAAAGTCATTGAGTATGGAAAAATCCATAAATTCCTGTAAACCTTTGTAAAATAAATTTCCTGGTAGCTGAACAAAGAGCTGAATTATACCCAAATATGCAGGTGAAAAGTCCATTCCCTGTACCAACTTGGATAACCCTAACTAGTTGAACATGAACCAGAATAACTGGTTACTTCTCTATTCCTGTGTTTCTTCTGGAATAGTTTTACATGGCCTGTCATTATTCAAATTCATTATAAGCTTACAATAAAGTTTGCAACTCAGAATACAAGTGATTTGAGGTATAAGGGAAAGGTGAATGCTTTATACATTTCGTGGGAAGTTATGACAAAAGTCCTGGAGGAGGCCAAGGCAACCCACTCCAGTATTCTTGCCTGGAGAATTCCATGGACAGAGAAGCCTGGCAGGTTACAGTCCATAGGGTTACACAGAGTTGGACAGGACTGAAGCGACTTATTATGCCATGTTGTTCAGTTGCTCAGTTAGGTCCTACTCTTTGTGACCCCAGGGACTGCAGCACACCAGGCTCCCCTGTCCTTCACCATCTCCTGGAGCTTGCTCAAACTCATGTCCATTGAGTCAGTGATGCCATCTAACCATCTCGTCCTCTGTCATCCCCTTCTCCTCCTGCTTCAATCTTTCCCAGCATCAGGGTCTTTTCTAATGAGTTGGTTGTTTGCATTAGGTGACCAAAGCTACCAGGGCATAGGATATGACAAAAGTAAAACAAATAAAAACAATCGAGTAGGCTTGGAAGTGGCAATCTGGCGAAATCTTGAAAAGTAGAGTAGCTTCTCATTGGTTTATTATGGTCCTGATTTTCAGTGTCTTTTCCTAAATCACTCCATTTGGGATTCCAAAAGAGAAAACACCAGGCAAAAGTTTAAAGTATGTATCATTCTTTTTTCCATCTCTCCTTATTGCATGTATTATAGTTTTTCCTTCACCCAAATCACTTTCTATTATTATCTATCTAGGCCACTCTTGCAAGTAAAAAGATAGTTTTAAAATGTTGGTATATGTTTCTTAGAGTCTGTATTTTTAAAGTCAAACTCTTAATAAGAATCTAGATTAATGATATGTTTTCACACATAGTGGCCTCTGGATAAGAAAAACTTTTCAGCAATTAGCCTGTTAAATCATTCAAAATTTATCCATTTCTGCCTGGGACTGATATTTTAAAAGTTATCTACTTGATCTGCCAGAAACTAGACAATTTATTTATTCAATAATATATATCAAACACTTACTATATAAGAGTTAGGCATCAACTCACAGTGATCAACATCAGACAGAGGTCCCTTCTCTCATGAAGCTGATATTCTAGGGAGGCTGCAATAATAAAAACATATTTGTTGTTTAGTGGCTAAGACATATCCGACTCTTTTGTGATCCCATGGACTATAGCCTTCTGGGTTCTTCTGTCCATGGGATTTCCCATGCAAGAATATTGGAGTGGGTTACCGTTTCCTTCTCCAGGGGATCTTCTCAAACCAGACATCAAACCTGTGTCTCCTGCATTGGCAGGTGGATTCTTTACCACTGAGCCACCTAAGGAAGTCCAATAAGATATACATACACAAGTAAACATTTGTGTGTAAAGTGGAAAGATTTAAAAATAGGAAAGCAAATTGTACATGTATTAAGTGATGGGATTGTAAACTTTTCTTCCCTAAGCAATAAGTTTGGATCATACATTATAAGAGTGAAGAGATATTGATTGTTCATAGGTATTTAGATTATTTTTTTCCAGGAAGAACATGTAGTCTTCTCTGGTTTCTCAGGTGGTAGAAAATTTGCCTGCAATGCAGGGGACCCAGGTTCAATTCCTGGGTCAGGAAGATCCCCTGAAGAAGGGAATGGCTACATACTCCAGTATTCTTGCCTGAAGAATTCAATTTAGATTATTTTTTCAAGGCAGAACATATAGCTGACTTCAAAATTCTCTTTTAATTCTGCATTCCACTTATACTCAAAATGCCACATGGTGTTCTCCAAATTCAGTAGAAATTAGAGTCTTTTTCTGGAACAGTGACAAATGTGTGGGCAATTCTCCTAGGATTTGGCAAATTTTTCTTGGAGAATTTTGATATTAGAGTAGAAATCAAAGAGTCCTACATTTTCCTTAATTTAGTCAGCAAATATTTAGCCCAAATATTGGGCTCCCTTTTTGTGCTAAGCACTGGTTATACACATTGTGAAGCATGGTGCAGACAGAGCTCCTAAGTTCATTGTGATACAGAACTTGTAACCTGGTAAGAAATATAGGTAATAAATCATGTCAACTGTTAAGAGAATCAAGAAAGGTGAAATAAAGGGCGCGATGAGAATACATCACAATATATGACACAGAAACCAGTGGTCATTTAAAGACTTCTTGGAGAGGTAGAGTTAATGCTGAGACTGCAGGAAGAGTAGAAGTGAGCCTGTAAAGTGTTGGAAGGTTTCTGGAAGATGGAGTACGTGGGCAAATTGAGAGAAGGCAGAGATCAGTACTTCAAAGCATTGCAGGCAAGAGAGATTGTGGTGAATATGAGGAGCAGAAAGATTGGGAAAGCAGGAAAAACAAATGATGGAAATGTAGCCCTGATTCTCTTACACTTTATAATCCCTGTTAAGATTTTGTTTAACTTTATCCTAGGAAGTGGGAAGTTAAGCAAATGTCTTAATGGGTAGAAACATGACACAATTAAAAATGTTAATTTGCAGAGTAAAAAGTACATGTAATTGGCTATGATTGGAGAAGAGGAATCAGTTATTAGGATACTGCAGAAATACGGGAGAGAAATCCTGTTAAGTTGTTTGACGATGGTGGAAGTAGTAGAAATTGAGGGATAAGAAATAGAGGAATAATAAAAGCAGGAGCTTGGTGATGGTTAATATTTGTTATGCTCAAAATGTCTCAGTTTGGCCAGGGTCTAAGAGATAACTTAAGAATCAAAAGCATTTCTGGGTATTAGAGAAGGAAGATGTTTCTCAGCAAACATGTGTCTGAACACTCTAGGGCAGGTAGGCAAAGAATTTAATAGCTTTTGTCACAAATTCTGTATGTGTTTTGAGTGGCTCCATATGAGCTCAAACAATTTTATAGGCATAATCAAATAAACATGACAGAAGAATTTTGAGTGAAGTAAACTTCCAATAGTATTATTTGCTGCCTTTAGAAAGACTATATAGCTTCTTTACTTTTCCCTGACTTTTGAGAAGAGATGCTAGTCTTGGCCCCTCTGATATCAATTAAGTAAGTTTTATAGCCTTGCTGAGACCTTAGTTGCATCCTCAACCCCAGTTCACTAGGATGTGTGAGCATCCATGCAGTTGGTTGTGGGTTTTTGGAAGATGGCTTGACTTAGAAAAAGTTAAGAACAAATTGAAGAGTTTCTTAACAGCAGTATCATGCTTCTTATGTGTGAAATCAAAATTTCTTATGCTCTTTTGCCGCCTTTTGCCAAAAATTTAATTTGGACATCAGCTTTTCAATTGATGACACTTATCTACTTTACTGAAGACATTCAACAGCTTCTTTTCTGGGCAGTGGTGTGTCAATCTTGGCAGCGATGGTTTGCAGACAAGTGAATATGGGAATAGCATTCTCATGAAAATAAACTCTAGCACAAACGGGAAGAGATACAAAGCTCATTAAAAAGATATGGAAGCAGCCTAAATGTCCATCCAAGGAGGAATGGTTAAGAAGATGTGGTACATATAAGCAATGACATATTAGCCAAAAAATGGAGTGAAATAATGCCATTTGCAGTGACATGGGTGGACCCAGAGATTGTCATACTGAGTGAAGTAAGTCAGACGGAGAAAGGTTAAGTATCATATGGAATCAACTTATGTGCAATCTAAAAACAACGGTACAAATGAATCTATTTACAAAGCAGAAACAGAGTCACAGAAGTAGAAAACAAACTTACAGTTACCACAACAAGGGATAAACTGGGAGATTGAGATTAACATAAACACACTACTATCTATAAAATAGATAGCTAATAAGGACCTATTGTATAGCACAGGAAACTCAACTCAATTCTCTGTAATGGCCTATATGGGAAAAGAATCTAAAAGAAAAGAAAGAGTGGATATAAGTATATGTATATAACCAATTCACTTGGCTGTACGGCAGAATCTAACACAACACTGTAAATCAACTATATTCCAATAAATTAACTTAAAAATAATTTTTAAAAGGCCATTATAAATCAGGTTATAGACCAAAAATGACTTGAGCATGTCAGTAAAATAAATGGAATATTTTTTTCATTTCTTCCTTTTGCTTGGGTATCTATATTCTTAAAGCTGTAAGGTATGATCTCAGTTTAGTGATTTGAGAAGCAGAGATAAAAGTGAAGAGATTGCCTCTGAAGGGTAAAAATGTATTTGAGATATGAGGACAGGACATTAAAAATATTATGGTCTGAATAAATTTTTTAAAGCAGATGAAATATAAAAATAATTTACACTTTTTTATAACATACAATTTGAGATTTTACTCATCATTCATTCCAAATGTTTGCTCTTTTAGACTTTCTTTACTTAGCCCTGGTTATTTTTTCACAAAGTCAGCAGGCCTGTAAAGCACTGCAGAGTTGTTTATCTTTGGCAGGTATGTGGCTCAGTGAAGTGAGGGCAGAGAGGCGAGCTCTTTGTTTAGGTCAGTGCAAACATATTGCCATTCTTATACTTTTGGGGGAGATACACCGAAGGTTTTTTGTGCCTATTATTCTACTTGAACAATCTTGTACGTATAGTAAATGATGGACTGACAGTGGCTAGATCTGGTTTACATAGCAGTAGACGGAGAAGCTTACACAATAGTTATGACAAATGTCAGAACAGAATGCCTTGAACCAAAATACTGCCCTTCCGTAGACTCTCATGCCTCCTATGTTTAGTTTGTAACATTTATCCTGCCCCTAATTACCATATTGTAATAACAATTTTAAATGGTTAGAATACTACTTTCCCTGAGAAGACACTGACATTCAATATGAATTCATTGATAATGATTAATTTATCTGATTACCTATTATCATCCGTTGTTACAGATCTCAGTTTAGGTCATAAGAAAAAAAAAAGTTGATTTTGGTTTGGCAGAGAAGAATAGAAATATTTGAAGCTAGAGTTGGCATGATCTCATGATGAGGGTTATAGGGGGTGCCAAATTAGGCCATGAGGGTGCTGCTTGCCAGCACTTGTACTATGTAGTTCTAACAAACTGTGAGTTGGGCAGAAATGATGGACTAAGGCAGGGTGTTACTGTAGCATAGCTAGCTAAAGCTAGTCTTTGGAATCCAATAAATCTGGGATAGCATCCCAGTTCTGTCACTTAGTAAATGTGTGGCCTTGGGAAAGTCACTTAACCTCTCAAAGTTTTGATCTATAATTATTTTATGCATTTTGTACAGAAATCCCTAAGTATGTTTTGAGACTGGATAATTTAAGTGACAGTTCATAAAAATATTTAGCCATAGTATTCAGAGAGTGATCCTCCTCCCTTTTTGGACCATTACTTTGTCTCCCAGAGACAGAATCATGGCTTTTTAGAAGTAGGGACTTTATTGTTAACTATAATTCTTGAGAACTACTGAAATACATCACATTTAGAGTGACCACTTAATGCCTCTCAAATAAGGACACCTTTGAAAGTGAGAGGAGGCACTTAAAACAACTAATACATAATAACTGAACTAGAACAGGTATAAACTGGAACTCCCTCAGTTAAACCATTTCAATCTAATGATATCAAATGCTTGCGTAAGACAGAAAGGTTTAGAGAAAAATTGCCTAGGGACCTAATAAAAGCAATAGAATCTGAAAAGAATAAATAATTTCCCTTCTCTTTCTTCCTGAACTGTTAATAAAAACTGTATCAGCATAATGCATTTTTGATTTATCCTCCTCTATGTAAAATATTGTTTTAGTAATTCATATATCTATACAAATATTTTAGCAGATATACTTTTCTCTTAATTCAAGTTCATTTGTAATAAGAAACTGAATCAATCAAAACACACTGGTATGGTTACATTTAAATATATCTACACTTTAAAAATAATAAAGCTGATTGACTTTAATTTTCATTCTGTTGATGAATAACTGACATGTTAGTCTGAACTTGGAGGCGATAACAGTGTTAATATTAACAGCATTAATATCAGGTTTCTAATTTTTGAACCATTAGACTTATTTACTTTCTCATATCTGTATTTCTTTTTGAGTTAAACAGAATTTATACAATTGACAGCAAGGACTCCGTAAACATTCTCTGATTATTGATTAACGATCTCATAGAGGTAAGATGCTAGTGTAAGTATCATTCATATTCT